AGAAAAGCAAACAACGCAAAGGACTTTAGAATGAAAAGCTACAACTTCCTGTTGAGTTTTCCTTCTCTCCAGAGACTAGCTTTTAATTGTTCCTAATTTTACTGCTTCTGGATGTTACTTTGTCTCTAAATAGTATGTTATATACCATTATTTCTTGATTTATAACCTTAGATATTATCTAGTGACTATCTCCTCTAACATGTTAAATTACAATTGTACCGCTATTCTCACTTCCTTCACTGATCACCTCTGCAATTTTAAACAACTACTTAGTGATTCATTTCACTCAATCACCCACCCACCTGCTCCTTCATTCATTCAAACACCCATTGTGTGCCTGATACATGCTGGGCACTGCCGTGCTATTCTAGGTGCAAGGGACATGGTGATTAACAAAACAGAGCATGTTCTTACTCCCATGTGTTATGTAGTTGAAACAAATCATAATAAATATATAAACACAAACAAACCATATTAAGAGAGAAAGTAAATTAATAAATACATGCAAAAACTACAATGAAAAGTACAACGCAGAGGGTTAAAATGAGAATAACAGATGAGAATGAGTGATAATTTTGGATTAGATGACCAGGGAAGGCCTTTCTGAAGAAATCTACTTCAACACCTGATGCCCAGTGAAAATTTTATGATGTATAAATCAGGTGATTTTGAGCTGAAATAGAAAGACTAGGAAGAGGCAGCCATATAATGACTGCTGCCCCACAGAGGTGGCTCCTGACTCCCTGCCTGGTAAGATGAGGACATAAGTGAGCCTCTCCTTCCCTCATCTCTCCTGCTCTCTACTTCTCAACCTCTGCCATCTGTATGTTTACTTTTATGACAATGTTCCTCTATAGGACAGTTGTAAACATTGAGAACTAGTAAAGTTTGTTATCCCATTAAAGATTACGTATGATGACTGTGTTATAACCATTTTCCGCATGGCAAAGCATGTTGGGGGGCCACCCCTTTTCTTCTAGTAACCTCTCTGCTTCACTACTGTTCACTTTGCAATATGTCCACAACAGGGACTGGCAAACTGTTCTGGTGTAAAAGACCAAATAGTAAACGTTTTAGGTTTTGAGAAGTCTCTGTGGCAAGAACTCTCCTCTTTAGGCAACACAAAAGCACCCTCAGACAATATGTAACGATCAGAGTGTGGCTGTGCTCCAATAAAATTTTATTTATAAAGACAGACAGCAGGCTGTAATTTGCCAATCCCACCACAGAACTTTAATTTTACATTATCAAAGATAATACTTGTATCCTGCTTCTAAAATAATAAAACTCTTATTTATAACTGTTAGCACTTATGTATAGTTAAATTCTAAGACTACACTTACATTGTGAGTATGTGAATATTATTTCCATACAACCCAAGCATGCTATGATGACACTTCCTTCTGTATGCATCCAATACAATGACCAACTCCTGTGCCTTTCAAAGTAAAGTGCTTCTTCTGATACATTTTGAGCTCTTTGTATGCATAGCTAGCTTTAACAAAGAATAAAACACGGCCACTTATCTCTCACGTGTGCCTCCATCCATACCCATTCCCCCCACTTAAGTAAATTACAAATAGTCTTATTTCTTATTTTTGTCTTCTAATTTGTGAGAGATTTCCTTGACTTTATCTTTATTTTACTGAATTTCTTATTTTGGGTGAGATTAAAAAGAAAAATCTCTCTTACTCCCACAAATATCTCTATTTGCTCTAGGGCTAGTTTTCTGTTTGTCTTGATCCTTTTTTCCTTTTGTAATGCAGGTTTTCCTTACATTTAAGAATCAGTCAATAGCAAGGGTAACTGGAAACAATGAATTCAAGGGCTTCACTTTAGGGTTTATCCCCAAAATGATGACGTTTATCTAAATTAGGGAACCCAGAAAGGCTCACTCTAACCTCTCCATACTCCATCTGCTTAATTTCTTTAGAAAAGAAATCCCCCTGATTTGGAACCTATAGGTCAGTCCGTCTGTCATGGGTGACACCACTGAGGGGCTCAGTCATTCTGTGTAACATCTCTGGCTGCAGCTCACTCTGGCCTTCCACCGAACCTGTGGTCTCTGGCATTCTGCTGCAGCAGCTCCCTCCGGCCCCCTCTAGGGGTGTCCCTGCCTACTGCACTCTTTGCTCCTTTTAGCCATTCAGCACTTTCCGGCTACCTTTGGCTTTCAGAGGTGCTGGAGACTGGCGGCATGGTGGAGCTGGCTGTGACCAAACTAATGGTAAAGCATTCAGCTCTTATGAGCTGGCTGTGAGACTATGAGTAACTTGAAGTCAGCCACTGTGAGAGTATATATGCTATGTAAATTGGCAAACACTACAAATCAGGGCTTTTAAAAATCCCTCCCACCCCCCTGGAGGGGCAGTTTACTAGCACAACATAAAGACTCATGTGTGCTGGTATCTCTCCTTGGTCTCCTCTTTTCTAGCAAGTTTATACTATTTTAATTCATTCACTATCAATTTAATGGGGTTGCAGGAAGGAAAGAAATTAACATCTTTGTTCAGTCTATCATCTTAACCAGAAACCTGTCTTCCTTTCCTTCTTTTTTTTTTTTTTGTCTTTAATTAGGGTTGCCTTATAGTCGAGCTGTACTGTGTGCTGATACACAGAAGAGACAGACCTCTTACCTGCATATCCAGTTCATGGCATCTTTGAGCAATTTCTTCCTTTGCTGACAAAGCTTCATTTAGTTCTTCTGTTGTTTTCTTCAACTGGTTAGAAACAAAAAGATAAACATTCCAATATGGGGTGCCAACAATTAATAACTGCATACAAACGGCATAGAATTAAATCATTTCTCCCCTTTTCTGTCTTGGGGTATGCGCATGCAGGGGGACATAAAGAACCCTTCTGCAAGAGAAAGAAAGAAGGCATATCCAACACTGAATTTCTTTTAGCTCTAAGTCCTGTCTTTTCTCTCCTTTGACTTTGGCTCTTCTTCCCATATCAAGATATCCTTTTCTATCTGGCTATGTGGTTCTTGGTAATGACTCTTCAATAAATGAGAAATCTTACCTTGGTAAAATATATATATATCCTAGAGGAACAGGCGTTTCAATTGTTAAAATATATACCTATTATATTTCAACACAAGTCTTTTAGTCATATTAAACGTTTATGTTAATTTGTATAGCACCATTTTTATTTTATTTATTTTATTGCCACTATGCTTTTTACGCTGCACCATTTAAAAAAATTTATTATTCTGATTCTCAAGATAAACCAAACATTCTTGAGTTGTATCCCATTATTATATAAACTCTAAGTTAGCAAAGTATTTTAAAAATTGATTAAAATAAAAGTTTATTATCTCTTCACTTCATGTGACCAATCTCTCTGTAGTATAGATACAAAAAAGTGCATTCAAGGTAACAACTTTAAACCAAACACCATAAAGTAAGAGAAAGACAAATTACAGCTTGAGTTAAAATTATATCATGTCCAAAGATTTTCCTGAAAAATATTTAGAAACCATGGGGAAGAAATGAGAGGAGACAAGGAATACAAATATTACTATTCATGTACTGGAAGAGACATCCCAGTAGCTTCTACAAAGAAATTCACAGTGAAACTAACAGCATTTTATTAAGATGTGATATTTAAAATTATAAAATAACTTTTCTATTAAAACCATAAAAACACATTGCAGGAATCCTTTAGAAATATAGTGGTTCCCTGAGAGCATTTAATTATCTACAAATACTTCACAAAGATAAAGGGTAGAGTAAAGGAGACATCTTCAATTGAAGAATAAAATGAAATAGAAGGTAAAATATCTCTTGTATTATAAATAAGAGTAAATGCATGCCATTTTCCAGGAATGCATCTATTGTGTTAAATGGAGCACACAGATACCGTTAATGAAAAAAGAAAAAATCATGACTAGAAAACAGGAATTATAATAAGTTAAAAAATTATTTTAAAGTGGGTTATGCAACAGTACTTTAATTACAAATGCGTAATATTCATTAGTAAAATAGCTTCAGTACCTAAATTTTTGGTAAAATATAAAGAATTGTACCAGTATATTCCATAAGCAATTTCAACTAAAACACTCTTCTCGTTGATACCTGAAGTTTATCCTTTTTGACCCTGCATAAATAAAAACAATACAAAATTATATACCTGGCGATCAAGGTCAACATAGGCATCATTTCCAGCAGAGACAGGAGAAAACTTCCTTTTTGACCCTGCATAAATAAAAACAACACAAAATTATATACCTGGCGATCAAGGTCAACATAGGCATCATTTCCAGCAGAGACAGGAGATTCTTTACTCATTAGCTGAAATTAAGATTTAAATAATTATAACTATGAGGAAAAAAAGACATGCTACATAGTGTACTTACACAACAAAATTTACACTTAGCCAATACAAAAACACAAAAATTAAAATGAAAACACAAATATAAAAAGAACATTTTCCTATACATTAATGCTTTTAAGTCTGAAACATTTTTTCACTCCAGGATAATACCTTCATTTAAAGTTAGAGGTCTAAATTCTAGTGCTCATTTTCACTGTAAGACAAGTTGTTAAGTTAAAAATGTGGCTAAACAGGGGGAGTTCTGGTCAAGATGGTGGAATAGACAGTTCCCAGCATCACCCTCTTCCACAAATCAACCAAATTTACAACTATAAAAATGTAACATCAGCCAAGCTGGGGCCGCTGGAGCTCAGGGGAAGAGGAGGAGAGACCTACGAAGTTCATGAAGGTGGGAGAAACTATGATGAGAGAAAGAAAAAGCTGCTCTGAGCATTTCTGGCTGCGGCTGCTTTAAGGCTCAAGCTGATGAGCACATGGAACAGGAGCCGGCAGGAGCCGGCAGAAGCCTCAGCTGCACCCTTCAGATGGAGTTACTTGGAGGCAGCAGGAGAGAAAAGGGCCTTGGTGGCCCCCAGGACAGCAAGACCACTAATAGGTTTCCCATGAACCCACGCAGGAGCGAGGAGCCAGAACAACTGAAAAAAGGGAGCCATTCAGAGGCTGGTGAGTCATCATAAGGGACCAGCACAGGGCCCGTCCCATGCGAAGTGTCTGGAGCATGGGCGCTGGGCAAGATAGGAAAACCAGGAGAACACTGGGACACAGCAAGGACAGACGACCTGCCCCCCAGTCAGCACAGGACCACTCAGAGGAGAGTGGTCGGGAATGAAGAATTGCATGGGGTGCAGTTTGATGAAAAAACTCAGGCCCAGATCAGAGATTCTATAGAACACAGATCTACCAGGTCTCTGGAGAGCCGGAAGTGATTACAATATGAACCATTAAACCCTGAGCTGCACAAAACGCCTTCCCTAGGGAAACAGCAGCAAAGCAGCAATTTAAACAACCACACACTCCAGTACTGATTCCCACAGGAAGTTCCCCCATGTTAGAAGCAAAGGACAAAAAATTAGTTCCGGCCCAGGCACACCACCAGCACCTTGGGGCCTGCCTGGGAACCAGAGGCTTGGATCCGGGGACTGGACCCCACTCCCACTTCCAGGCAAACTGTGCCAGTGCCTCAGGGCCAGCCTGGGACCAAGACACGGAGAAGGGGACTGGACGCCCCTCCCACAACCAGGCGCACCAAGCCAGCGCCTCGCATACCATCCAGTGACCCAAGGCATGCAGTGGGGACTGGACCCTCCTCCCACAACGAGGCACACCACGCCAGCACCTTGGGGCCTGCCTGGGGACCCGAGGAAAGGAAACGGGAACCAGACCTCTCTCCCACAACCAGGCACAACATGCCAGCAACTTGGAGCCCATCCAGGGACCTGGGGCAAGGAGAAGGGGAATGGTCCCTTCTCCCACAACCAGGCACACCCTGCACCAGTGCTTCAGGGCCCGCTGGGGGACCCAAGGCATGGAGAAGGGGACTGGACCCCCCTCCCACAACCAGGCACAACGCGCCAGCACCTTGGACCCCACCCAGGGACCCAGGACATGGAGAAGGGGACTGGACCACCCTCCCACAACCAGGCATACTGAGCCAGCACCTTGGGGCCCACCCAGAGACCAGGGGTATGGAGAAAGGGACCGGACCACCCTCCCACAACAAGGCTCAACATACCAACAACTTGGAGCCCACCCAGGAACCTGGGACAAGGAGAAGGGGAACAGTCCTCTCTCCCACAACCAGGCACACTGAGACACCAAAGATAAGTAATATAAAAATAGAAAACTACAAATCCATTTACAAGACCCAAGATGGCAAACATGTCCATGAACATGAAACCTCACAAACCTCCATGATGACCATGGCAGAAGCCGCCACCTGCTTACCTCCAGATTGTGAAGCAGGCAGTGGAAAGGGAGCTCAGCCCATGCAGGATAAGCAGGACCCAAAGTGCTCTTTCAAGACAAGGAAATAGGACCAGGATCTCTGCTTATTGATGAGGAAATTGATGTATGGTCAAGTTAAGTAACAGCCTAAAAGGAACACAGTTGCTAGGTGAAGAGGCAGAATGCAAACCCAGGCAGGCTGTCTCCAGATACTATAAATTAAACTATACCATACTGTCTCTTTGAAGGAAGGATGAAAATGCATTAAAATCCTTTTAGAAAAAATAAGAAATCGTGAAACATAATGAAGCAGAAATAAAAGAGCTGGGGACTGGACCCTCCTCCCACACGAGACACAAAACGCCAGCACCTTGGGGCCCACCTGGGTACCCGAGGCATGGAGAAGAGGACCAGACCCTCCTCCCACAACCAGGCACATGGTACCAGCACCTTGGGGCCAGCCCAGAGACCCGGGGCATGGAGATGGGGACCAGACCACCCTCCTTCAACCAGGCACACCAGACCAGCACCTCATGGCCTGCCCAGGGACCCAGGGCATGGAGAAGGGGACCAGACCCCACTCCCACAACCAAGCACACCAAGTCAGCTCCTTGGGTCTCACCTGGTGACCTGAGGCATGGAGAAGGGGACTGGCCACCCCTCCCATAACCAGGCGCATGGAGCCAGTGCCTTGGGGCCTGCCGAGGGACCAGAGACATGGAGAAGGGGACCAAACACTCCCCACAACCAGGCATACCGCCAGTGCCAAGGAGCATACCAAAAACAGCACCTCCACGTGGGTGGCCCACCACAGCCACCACAATAACCATGGCTGCCACAAAAGTGGCTAGAGACCACAACCACCACACAGATGGTCCACCAGCCACTGGAGTGCATTCACACAAGAAGTCACCAGCAGAGATAAAGAAAAGAAGAAGATGTCTCTTTCTACAAAGCCCATTTCAGAGTGACAAAAGAAGCATCTGCTCTATGATAATATTGGGGGACCTGATCACATCTCTCAGCATTGGACAGATCATCTAGGCAACAAATTAACAGAGTAACCATTATTCTTTCAGAAGGAGAGAAGAAATCTAGGGCAATTAGAGGGGGGAGGGGGAGGGATTGAAGAATGGGGAGAGATTGGACCAGGGGCATAAAGAATTACGATTTATAACAATATATATGCTAGTAATATTGAGTTAATCAACATATCTCAATGCTCAACACCCAAAATATGTATAATCGATTTTGATTCAATAAATAAAATAATTTTTTTTTTAAAAAGTGGCTAAATATTTACAAAGACAGTGACTTTTCAGTATAAATATCAACTCTAAGTACTTATTTATTTCTAAAAAACAAATGTAGACAACATCATTATTAGCCAAAATTAACTGGCTACTATGGTTTGAATGTTTGTCTTCTCCAAAACTCATGTTGAAACTTAATCCCAATTGTAACGGTATTAAAAGGGTAGAAAATTCAACTATGGTATTGAAAGGCGGGACCTTTAAGAGGTGAATGAATTAATCCATTCATGGATTACTGGATTAATAGGTAATGGATTAATGAGTTATCACATGAGTGGGACTAGGGACTTTATAAGAAAAGGAAGATAGACCTGAGCTAGCACGCTCATCACCCTCACCATGTGATACCTTGGCACCTTGGGACTCTGCAGAGTCCCCACCAGCAAGAAGGGCCTCACCAGATGGGCCCCCTCAACCGTTGACTTCCCAGCCTCCAGAATTGTAAGAAATAAATTTCATTTCTATATAAATTACCCAGTTTCAGGTATTCTGTTATGAGCAACAAGACAATGGCTAATGGCTAATGACACACATACACCCTATATCTTAGCCTCTCTCACCCTTGTGCTGCAAAAAGAAAAGATCCAAACAGTGTGTGAGGGTTGGGGGGGAAGGGAATAGAATTCTGATTATGAGACATGTCAGGGGCAGACTCGAATGGTCCCAATCTTCTATTCTCTCTTTCTTATATTCTGTCTGAAGGACAAAAGGGAGAGGTACGATTAGAAATGTGGGAATGTACTGTTGAGAGATCTTGTGACTTCAGCCTTCATCCGCTCTCCAGGAACTGAAATATTATGTTCACTTGTACCTTTTCCTCTATATCAGTGGTTCTCAAAGACCCCAAGACCAATAGCATCAGCATTGCCTGATAACTTGTCAGAAATGCAAATTCCTTGGCCCTACGCCAGGTTTACTGAGTCAAAAACTTTGGGGTTGGGCCTAGTAATGTACTTAATAAACTCTCCAGTGACCTGACCTATACACAAGTTTGGGAATCAATGCTTTGTATTAATGTAATAAGAAGAGGAGAAATTCCCTCTGCACATTTCGAGAAAAAAGTCTCAGAAACAGCGAGGCCTCAAATTTTACGCTTTTTTTTTTTTTTCCTTTTTGTTTTTTTTCGTGTCTGGCAATGGATCGCAACCCTCAGTGTCGCGCCCGTACCGGACCGGGACTGGCAACGGGATCGCAAACCTCGGTGTTGCGGCCGCACATTGCTCAGCCAGTGAGCGGGAACCGGTCTGTATGTGGGATCCGAACTCTCGGCGGGAGCGCGTTGCGGCTGCACCTTGCTCAGCCAGTGAGCGGGAACCGGTCTGTATGTGGGATCCGAACTCTCGGCGGGAGCGCCACCATGCTCCCAAGCAGCGCACTGTAGCAGTGCGCCACCGGGCCGGCCCAAATTTTACCCTTTGACAGTAGTAATGAAAAGATTAATAGAAAGACTTCTTCCAATTGAAAAAATACCCATTGTATCAAAAAAATTTCAGAAAAAATATAAGCAGAAAAATTATTCTACCCTCCAAAAATAATCACTTTTATAATTTTGAAATATTTGATTTGAGAATTAGCTATCTGTGCCAACCATGGGTCTAGCAGAGTTCAAGTAAGAAAGATAAATCAATAGATAAATACATTGCGGTGTGATAAGGGGTGTAACACAGTAACACCTCAGTAAAAATCTAGGTATGCCACACTGAATACACACTTCTCTCTTCGTAGGTCTCTCATTCAATTATATCTAGTGTACCCGTTCCTTGAGCTTTCTTCCTATTTTTTGGTCATAGCCCACCATTCTTGTATTCACTTTCTTACTTTGCTTAGACTCTATAGTGAACACTACCAGTTTTGCATGCCTGAAGTTTAAAGTTTATTCCTCTTCCTTCTGCTAACATCATCATCTTATTCTTGGGCCTCTCCCATTCCCTACTTTAGGTTCCATGGCTTATCATTTGTTAATCAATTACTTTCTCTATTTAACCTACACTTCATGGCTTACTACTTTGATGACTTTGTCAATATCATTCCTTCTTCCTGGCAAAATCTCAATCCAACTACCTATCTCTTCTGGCTATATACCCTAACTGCTAAGTACTGAGAGAGCAAAATATGTTTAAAAATCACAAAACCCATGTCACTATTAATACAGTTTGCAATCTCAATTTCCAAGCTGCTCAAAAAGTTCAGCTATGATTCTCCAGTCTGCAGCCTCTTTATTCTCTCTCTCTTTTTTTTTTTCCTTTTTGTCTTTTTTACTGACTGGTAATGGGATCGCAACCCTCGGTGTTGTGCCCACACCGCGCCCAACCAGTGAGCGGGAACCGGTCTCCACATGGGATCCGAACCCTCAGCGGGAGCACCGCCGCACTCCCAAGCGGCGCACTCTCCAGTGCGCCACCGGGCCGGCCCATCTTTATTCTCTTTAATGCTTATTCCAAACCTTTCCTACTTCTCAAACCTCACCAACTCCCCCACACTCTTCATCAGAAAATCTTGCCTCCAGATAAGAATTTCCCCAATGTCCTACACCCTAACATACAAAATTAGCAGCACTCATGCCCACCCTGTCCTTTTTCATTCCTGTTACAACACAAGGCTCCTCTTCCCATCCAGGGCCAACTCCTCCGCTGTGCTCATACTGTAGTCTCTTCCCAGCTTCTCAGAGACCCTGCTGCATTTACTATCAATCTTCTCTTATATTTTCAGCCTCTATCTTTGTCCTTCTTGCATCTTCTTCCTATTAGCATTTAAATGGCTAAAAGACTATATCATTTACTCAAACAGACATTTCTCCAAAGAAGGTAATAAAGAAATGCCAAAAAACACAGGAAAAGATGCTCAACATCATTAGTCATTAGGGAAATGCAAATCGAAATCACAATTAGATATTACTTCATACCCACTAGAATGGCTATTACCAAAAAGATGGACATTAACAAGAGACAGTGAGGATGTAAAGAAATTAGAACCCTCGTGCATTACTGCTAGGAATAGTGCAACTGCTATAGAAAACAGGTTCTCAGTTTCTCAAAAAATTAAACATAGAATTACCATGTGACCTAGCAACTCCATTTCTGTACATACCTGTATATCCAAAAAATGTGGGAACAGGTGTTCAAAAAAAACCTTGTGCACTCATGTTCACAGCAGCATTATTCCCAATAGCCAACAGGTAGAAATAATTTAAATGCCTATCAAATGATGAACTGATAAACAAAATGCAGTATATCCATACAATGGAATACTACTTAGCCATAAAAGGAACAAAGTACTGATACATGACACAACACACCTTGAAAACATACTACATAAAAGAAACTGAACATAAAAGGCCACATAGCGTATGATTCCATTTATATGAAATATCCAGAATAGGCATAGAAACATAGAGTGGAATCCTAGTTGCCAGGGGCTGAAGGGAGGAGGAAATGATACTGGGCTTTAATCGGTACAGGGTTTCCTTTCTGGATGAAGTTCTGAACTAAACAGTAGGTGATGTTTGCACAACATTGTGAATGTAATTGATTTCAACCTCACGACCAATGATTCAATCAATAGCTTTGTAATTAAGACCCCAATAAAGACTCTGGACCAAAAGCTCAGGTGAGTTTCCTCGGTTGGCAATATTGGTGTGACTCCACACATTGTCCCACTGATGTACTAGGAGGGTGACACGTCTGGATCCCATGGGGAGAGAGAACAGAAACTTTCTATCTGGGGTCCTCCCAGACCTCACCTCATCCATTTTTTTGGCTTAACAAAAACAACAATTCAGAAACTCATTTAATTTGATTTGTAACCATTTGCTGAAATAAAACTGTTACAATTCCTGAGTTCTGTGAGTCATTCTAATTATAGAACCTGAGGGGTTAGGGGGACCAGCTGAATTTGTAGCCAGTTGGCTAGATGTGAGGGTGGCCTGGGGAGCCTGGGGATCCCTGAACTTGGGACTGGTCTCGGAAGTGAGGTGAGGACAGTCTTGTGGAGGCCTATACCCTTAACCTGTGAAGTTTGGCCCAACTGGGGGTAGTTGGTGTCAAAAGTCATTCAAAAAAGATTTAAAAAAAAAAAACCCACAATTTTAGTTTAATTTGGATTTAGCATTTTCATGTTTGTCTTCTGCATCTTTTCTCTATTAGTTGCATATTCATGTCCTGTATACAGTTGGGTCTCTTCCATTGCTTTCATGATTAAAAATGTTCTCACATTCTGAGGTTGACCAGCTATTAGTCTATATTTTATTTTGACTTTTATAGTTATATATTTTACATTTAAAATAAATACTCATCTAGAAATTGCTTTGGGTATGGTTGGAGTTGAAGACCCACTTTCTGCCAAACAGAAAACCAATAGTTAAGTGTCAGATAGTTAATTTAGATAGACTGCTAGTTTAAGATAGATATTATTTATTATTTGCTCTCGGAATTAGTCTACTATTCCTCCTTCATTAAGGGCACTGTAAAAAATTAGACATAGTTATATCTATATCTGCAAATTAAATTAAGAAATTTAAATGAGTATGATTTTTTTAAATAAAAATGAGACAAGCTATATCATAAATATACAGAAAAATTCTCTAAATGAGTAGAAGAATCTTTCTAAAATTTCTCCTTTCATCTGTAAAATGAAGATTTAAAATAAAATAAAATATCCACTTCTGCTATTTAAGCTCATATTTGCTTCTTTAATTTTTCACAAACTGTAAGCAAAAAGCTCCAACGTACCTCTTGAATGGCTGTCATGACAACATGCTGAACAGATTCCTCCATCATCATAATGGCTTGGATGTACTCTGAAAATGAGAACAATCTGGAATGTCACTGTTCAAGTTAAAGATAATCCAGGGAGTAAAGGCTAACACTTCATAAATTCTCGTAAGTAGTTTTCCAGGGTGTTGATTATTCCTAGGAACCCCTCACACATAGTTAAATATATGTGCCATGGGTAGAGTAAAGGCTAAAAATCACAATATTTATCTTTCCTTAAGATAATTTTTTTTCTTTTCACCATTCCTTATAAAGTTGAGGCCACAACTAAAGGTCACAGGAATGCAGCACCAGCATGAGTTGTGTCACAACATAAAACAATGAAATGGTAGGGCCGAGCCTGTCCCGCCGCGGGTTCGGATCCTATATAGGGATGACCGGTGTGCTCACAGCGCTCACTGGCTGAGCGCTGTGCGGCCAGTCTCAAAAAGGACAAAACAAAACAAAAAAAACCCCAAAAAAACAAAAAACAATGAAATGGTAAAGCCCAAAGCCGGGATGGAAATGACTCCATGTTACTTTTTTCCCTATTTTTCTCTATATTACTTTTTCTAAAATCTAAAAATTATCTTTCAAATTATCCTTTGCTACGTGGTAAAAACTTTAAGTCTGTGCTTTATTGCTATGTGACATCAAAGCACTGAACTACTGTGCATAATTCCTACCTTAATATTTTCTACTACAGAAAAAGAAAAACATAAGAAAGCTCAGAGCTGCTTAGGACAAAGAAATAAGATGAACTTAACAAAGAAAATGATACCACAGTTGAACAAATATTGTATGATACTGGGCTTTAAAATAATGACCCACGTCTCAAGTTAAAGCAGCAACTTCACCAATCTCATCCTTACCACTGCCAAAAAAGAGAAAGATCTCTTAGCTGTTAATAGTGACAAAGTTGAAAACAATAATTTCTTCCCTTCTAAAAAAGCCCTGGAAGAAGTTTTCCTTATTGTCAAATCCAACAATGGATGACAAAAATGACATAAAATATAAATAAAAATCAATAGGCCAGGTGGATTCCAACAATATGGTAAATATGTTTAATTAGACATTTAAAAGGGTAAAGTAACTAGGAAATTTTAGCCTCGAACGGCTTCTCTGATCCCATTCATCCAAAAACCAAAACCAAAATATCTTCTCATCCCTCAAAGAGGGGTCTTACCATGAAATTGTCAAAATAATGTTTTGACAAGAGACTCATGTATTTGGAATGCCCAACTATAATCCTCTGCCTGACAGGTAACTTGTTTAAAAAGAATAAGTACTCTTACAACACTATAAATTATGACATTCTGCCTGTTAACGCCAAAGCTTTTAGTTTATCAATACATGTTAAGGAAGTATTGTCGTAAGGATACTTGCACCCAATCAAATGTTGGTTATACATTCAAATAAACACAACTAAATCACAGGCATTGTTCTTAGGCCAACAGTAGGAATACATCATAACTTAATCATTTTTTGGTCAGAGAAGAATTCCTGCGGTCTGAGCTCAATTTTTTGTTTTGTTTTCTTAATGCAGATCACTCTATGAGTATTGGAATACAGCAAAAAAGTGCCTTTAGGTATTCTGTTTACAGGTATCACACACAGAATTCAAAGGGAAACCAGTACAGCTAGGGTGACTGGACAGCCCTCAAAATGAAAGACTTGAACACAAAAGAGAAGCAGCAGTGCCCCCGATAATGAGGAAGGAAATTTAGTGACAGCCTGTTGGGAGTGAAGAAAATAACAGTGGAAGAGGGAGTCAGGGAGTTAGTAAGGTGTGAGAGGGGAAGCGTTAGTTAGGAAGCGGTGTTGCCACGTCAAGGCCCTTCCCCGCGAACACCGTAAAACACTAAATGATAAAAACGATGGCGAGAACTACACTAACATACAACTTTTTAAAAATAAAAAGTAATTTGCAAATCTTTAAAGTCAAAAGTACCATTAGATATGATTACTGGTGCACATCTATGAGGCAATGCTGGGCAATGTGGTGTGCTGTGTAAATCCTAAAACCTTAGCTATCCAAATTTACAGCATAGTTTAGTACAAAGAGTTTAGTTTAAATGTGGAAGAAACAGAGGTTAGTTTAAGTGTGAAAGAAACTGGTTTTTGCCGTCATCTATTCCCTCTCACAAATAAGAAATCTTGGACAAATCGCATAATATTTATGAGTCCAGCTTCCTAATCTGTACAAAGTATCTTTTGTTCTATTAGTACCTAGTAGAATGTCAGACAAAAGGTCTGACACTACGTAAATTAATTGTCAGTGTGTCTTCTACTACTAATCTTTGCTTTTCCAAATTTACCATTTTATGTGCCAGAATTTGCAAAATCAGATAGCCAAGATAAATGCATATTGAGTCTATGTTGCTATTCCTTCCTTCTTCTAATTAGAAAAAATATTTGAACATAAAGACCTTTTATTTTTATATTGCCTTACAGATTACAAAGCAAATAGACACAATTTCATTTCCTCCTCCTGACTACCGGGTTTCGTATCCTCATTTTGCAGACAAGAAAACAGGCTGGGTATCTGGTTCAAAGTTAGTCAGGTAGGAAATGGTAATCCATACATTATATATCATAAATGTGCAAACACAGCCCATACTACACAATTCTAAAACTCATTTATTTGAATCTTAGCTCTCTACTGCATTCCTGGGAACAGAGAATGCCCTAAATCTGGATAAGTGAGATGTTAAAATCCCTTTTAATATTTATATAATTTCAGGGGGCAAATTGAATCTAGGTATTTACATAGAACACCTGGTCTGTGTGAGAAGCTCAATAAATATTATGATTGACTATCTTCTTTTCCATAGGAATATGGATCTAGACATATGGATCTATAGATCTTTTTGTAGTCCTGTTCTATAAATATAAATAGCCAACTCTTAACAGCTATACCCTTCCAAAGTGTATATCTATGTATATGTTGCATAGAATCCCAGAAGTTGATGAATTTCCTAACAGAATACATAAGAAGTCATCAGCTGATATCAATGAACTACAATTAAACCATTTCTCATCACCTTAAAATAAAAGCATCTACTTGGAGGTATAATATCTCTTAAATCTTCTTATGTATACCAATCTTCTAATCTTTCAAGAAAACTTGTTAGAATTTTAGTAATATACAAAGATCACAAATGTAGAAAATTCTGTATTTTAATTCTTGAGCTAAACTGAATGAATAAACATACCGAAATTTAGTATAAGAATTTTGATAAAATCTAAAAGGAAAGTGGCTAAAGAGAAAAAAATACATTGTTTAAGAAAAAAAACCCAACAGAATCAGAAACCAACAAAAACTAGTCATAGTTTCAAGAAAACAATGTTGACTATTATTAAACGTATTATTCGAACACCAAAAAAGTACAGACAAGAAACAGAAAACAAGGGTCGGTGTGGGGGAAACAAGAAAACGTTTCAAGAAAACAATGTTGACTATTATTAAACGTATTATTCAAACACCAAAAAAGTACAGACAAGAAACAGAAAACAAGGGTCGGTGTGGGGGAAACAAGAAAAAAACCTGTGAACTTAAAAAAAACCCGTCCATCTTCTTTAATGTAAGTAATAGTAAAATATTATGCTGTCATTTAGAACAGCCCCTCTCTACCTATTCTCCTACTTTGTTTCCTTTTATCCTCTCCTCACTATACTCCAATTATGGTGCTGTGGGATTTTTTTTTCAATCCCTCAAAGGTAACCTAGTCTTTCTTACATTCAATTTCTACTATTTAGATTACTGTTGACACACTGTCCTTCAAAGCTCTGCTAAGTAACTTCCCTGACCCCAAGCCTAGCCTGTCCCCATCACGTTTTATGATTATAAAGCATTTGTGGCATTATTTAATGCCCTTCCCCCTCCACTCAAGTTCCTTGAGGGCACGTAGTATGTCTGTTTTGTCTAACACTGTGTTCCTAGCCCGTAGCATAATGCAGTAGTTCAATAAATATTTGTGAAATAAATCAACTAAAGGAGAGAAAAATATGGGCTGAGCCTGTGGCACACTCGGGAGAGTGTGGCGCTGGGAGCGCAGCAGCGCTCCCACCGCGGGTTTGGATCCTATATAGGGATGACGGGTGCGTTCACAGCGCTCACTGGTGAGCGTGGTGCGGCAGGTCTCAAAAAGGACAAAAAAAAAAAAAGAGAGAGAAATAAACAATGTAAATCATACTTTATGTATGATAAATTTGAACAGTATTTTTTAGAAAACAAGTGATTACTATGCAAATGAGCAATTGTCAACAGAGGGGACAGAAAAGCTACATAAGATTAGATAAGCACTATGGAAGAACAAAAAAAAAGAGTTTAATTATATTATTATGTATATATCAAACCTGATTCTCAAATAACTTCAATGAAGTGCAAATCTGTCAATTTGGATATGCTGTACACATAAAAATACTGCATTAATCTAAAAAAATATGTAAACTAAAATTTAACTGATGAAGAAGAATAGTCTTCTCTAAGTCTAAATTAGTGGTTTTACTAATTTACACTACATATGTTGATAAAATAAATATAAACCATTAGGTAAATACCATGTTAAGATAACTGACATTTTAAAAATTGTGGCTATAAGAAAGTTCACAAAAACACACAATAGAAAATTGAACTAAAATTAATGTTTTAAAATACTATATATAAAAAGTTACGATGTTTCCATGTTTGCTAGTAATAACATTTTTTGAACCATTACTTTGTGCAAGACACTGTATTATATACATTATCTCATTTAGTCCTTACAAAAACCTTATGAAGTAGGTACTATACTAAATCTCCATTTACTAAGAAACTAAAAGAGGAGGATTAAGTAATTTGCCCAATATCCCTTCCATAGTTTGTGAGAGGTGAAATATATCTGAACACAAGCTGATCAGGCATTGCAGCCCATGCCCTTAATCTCAAGTACAAATATATTTCCTAACTTGTCATTTTACAAACTGAATAAATCAACCAATAATTCAATAATTAATCAACCAATATTTCAATAATAATGATAATGATATCACACATTAGATCAATTCAGTTCTAGGAACTTAAAATTGGATATTTTAGATTACAATACAAAAGACACAAGGAAAAATAAAAAATGATAGTTCAGATTTAAACAGTTAGCAACAGATTTTTCTAGCATTGAAATATATACACAAGCAAAAAAAAACCAGATAGATATACAAACGAATTATTTATTTATTTTAAAAGTCTTTGTTCATCTTTGTGAAAAAAATCCCCAAACGCCCCTTACTTTCAAGGTTTTCTCACTAGACTATGTTAACACGAAATATCCTGTGGTATTATTACAAATTTTATAATTATTTATAGATAAATGGAATGAAACTATGTTAACATATGCAATATTATTCTTTCCTTTAAAAGACAGCCAAGGCAACATCTAAAATTTAACTGAGAGAGTAATTTCTTAAAGAATATCTACCATATTTAGGGGTAGGGAACCCTATTCCTAATCTATCTTTATTATTTAGAGACTGCATATAATCATACTCTTCCCTCCCCTTTTACCACAGTAAAGACAAACTTGTAAATGTTTCCAAATACGCGTGTTCTTTAAAGAAAGAAGTCTAAGGCATCTGTCTATTACAGACATAGCTGGGAAGGCAGAACTGAGTACCTATTAAACCGTGGTGCATCTCTGCTAATTTTTCCAAACGAACAGGTGAACCCTGTCCAATGAGCAGTAAACTTCATCATATTCAGTGTAGTTAAGGTGCATTAAAAACAATGCATTCAGGGACCCGGCCCGTGGCTCACTCGGGAGAGTGCGGTGCTGATAACACCAAGGCCATGGGTTCGGATCCCTACATAGGGATGGCCGGTTGGCTCACTTGGGAGAGTGTGGTGCTGACATCACCAAATCAAGGGTTAAGATCCCCTTAAAAAAAAAAAGTTAAAAG